TACCTTAACAAAGCCAGTAATAAAATGAGACTATAAATGCACATTATGTAGGGAAAGGATCTGTATATAGATTAAAAATAAAAAATAAGGTTAACCTTTTTTATAAACATCTTCAACTTGCTGTGGTGAAAGTGCAATACTTTGGAAAGTGGTGACGTTCCTTTACATACATTGAAATTTGGCCAGGACGCCGGGGTTATACCCCAACTCTTTTTGAGAAACGCCCTGGGATTTTTAATGACCACAGAGAGTCAGGACCTCAGTTTTATGTCTCATCCGAAGGAAGGCCCCTGTTTACAGTATAGTCCCTGTCACTATACTGGGGCATAGGACCCACATGGACCGCAGGGTGAGCACTCCCTGCTGGCCCCACTAACACCTCTTCCAGCAGCAACGTTTTTCCCAGGAGGTCTCCCATCCAGGTACTGACCAGGCTCACACCTGCTTAGCTTCAGTGGGTTGCCAGTTGTGAGTTCCAGGGTGATATGGCTGCTGGCATAATAAATAATAAACACTCTCTAACAATAAAATAATTTGTAAACTATATGCACATTTCTGAATATTAAGTAATATCATCAACGTAACAAGAGAATTTAAAGATTCCTTTAAATAGCTATTGCAATTTAGTTTTTTGCTGCATATTAGAAATATGCAAGAACAATACATTTCAGTTTAACTTTTCTGATTAGCATTGGATGGTGTGTTCTGTGCCCTGGAGATTATCCTTGCAGGAGGGGGGAGAGGGTGTGGGTGTTTATTTTTACTTTCTGTCTTCACTACACATTCCCAGTAGCCACTGATGCAGCTTGTTGAGGAACTGCAGTTCAACTCCTGGTGTTCTATCTGTATAGAGTTTGCATGTTCTCTCTTTCTTGCCTCAACACTGCTCTGAATAAAGCGGTTAGAAAATGGATGGACTGGTGTTTATACTTGTAGAAATGTTCCATTTTAAATGCAATACAGAAGAAATTTGCATTACATTAGGTATATATTATGTTACTGTATACTTTTGGTTTTCTTTTCAGCTACCACAATGTCCCTTTAGTTGTATAATTCTATATTAATTTTCCATATTAAGTAGATTTAAACATGCATAGTAGAAAAAATGGATTAAATGAAGCAATTATTTCACTAATATCTAATGCACCACAAGTGCCACCTATTGATCACCTTTGGCCAGTGAATTATCATATGCAATGCGCTATGTTAAAATCTACCAAATAAGGACTACTAATGTGATACTCAACTTGAACAGCAGCTGTGGGTTCAAGTTAAAACATATATTATATTATAACCGCTTTTATTTCCTTTTGATAAATGACATAGATTCATATGGAGATGCTTCAGACAAATAAGTTAACACACTGCTATTTTGGTTTTATTTATAGACTACATTTGTGTCTGAAATACTATAAATGTTAATTTTATGCAATTTCACTGGCTACATTTTTTGCACTTCATCTAAGAGTGTTCTTTAATTTATGGTATGTAACTTAAGGCATGTACTGCATATTTCTTACAGCGGTGTTAGAAAATCATTACAAAAAGCGTCAGCTAATGTAGAGTAAGAAATGTTATTTCTTAAACATAATTAGCATCAATATAAGATGCTGGTACATGGGAGTGGAGTTCGTCTACAAGTGAAAAACAAATTATATTTGCAGCTATAAAAAGGTAAACTGAGAAGACTTCTGTAACTGATCTTTTCAGGCCATTTCAGTCCAGTGCTGACCCTCTGATCTTGGGAGCCTTTGAAATTTTAAAACAGCATTTTGCTTGCCTCTCACTTGGTCTGCATAACAGTCTATTAAGAGCCATCACCATCACTGTACCATGTGCAGTCCTACATAACCTAAATTGACTTGATGACCCCCAAGATCTGTCTGCAAGACATTTGTCACATGTTATCAATTAACATATCACTGCATATTAACATATCATTGCACTAAAGGCTCTACATTCACTAATACAGCTACTGATAGAAGTAGTCATTAACTTCATTATTCATAAATTATACTTCTATCAGTAAACACATGTATTAATAAACTTCATTATGAATAATTGTGGAGTGACTGGAAAGCAAATTTATTTAAATATTACAATAATTTTCAATTGATGGATGCATAAGGTCATTACTTAGTGACAATATTATTATCACTATATTCGGGAACATTCCAGTGTCCCACATTTACTTTTTTACTATTTGTTGCAATTAAGAACATGTTTAGCACAGTGCTGCAGACTAGTTTCAGCAGCCAGGTTTGTTGCAATTGATCTTAAGGTGGTGCACTAGTTTAGCATGGAGCTACGTCCTAAATATGGGTTGATCTCCAGTTAGTACACATGTTTATTTATGATGTTTATTCACCCTTAAATACAGTTTGATACTGTATGGTATTAAAGCCAATACAGCATGTGTATATATTTTTATTATCAAAATAAATAATAATAACATAAAAATAATAAAATTATTTGTTTCCTAATTACATTTAAGTTAAGTTAGTTTTAAGAAAAACTAGATTATTTTTAAGCAAATGTATACCTGAAAAACACATTGTGCTCAGAATGGCCTGTAACAATAAACACATTTTATATATCCAGCTGTGCAACTTACTTTGTCAAACAGACCTACTTGTATTTTTAATATTAATTTATTATTTACTGTGATACATAAAATTCTTAAAAATGGCAATATAATACATACATTACATTTTATAATGGGACAAAGATTTTGCCCACGGGACTAGGCATTGGCTGGGATTCAAACCAAAGCATTCTGCGTGACAACCCACATGACATGTTAAACATTCACTGCCCCACCTAGCAGCCTAAGGGGGGTGCCAACACCATCAATAGTCAGGTCCGAGTGCAAATCTGAGTCTGTTAGCCAGTTTTAGTCTGTTTCTGTAAATGGCACTAGACTATCACTGTATTTATGAAGGTAGTTGACATTAGCTTGTAGCTGATCAAACTTGCTCCTAAGACGCTAAACATTACTCACGATTACCGACAGTAGAAGAGTCCAACAAAGTTGTTGTTTTTTTATTCCTCACACGGACTCCACCTCTCTTCCCATAGCTGAGGACTGTTTGTTTTAGTTTGTCACCGTTTTTTACTGTTTTTTTTGTCAAAATGTTTGCTGCAATTGCGTTCTGCAGATATATGTCCAGTGAATCATCCCGTGGACATGGTTGCTTCCACTCTAGCAGGAGCAGAAGTTTTCAACCTGTGGGCCGTGTGGTACTGCAAGGGGGTCGTGAAATGATTGTTGTAAGCAGGGCCGGTGCTATGGGGGTGCAATGGGCGCAACTGCACTCAGCCCAGATCTAAGGGGGGTCGTTGCTAATGTCATTAAAATGACAGCTATTTCTTGAGAAAAGACCATCTGTAAAATAAACGGGAAACACCGTGTATTATCCAATAGCAATATTAGTCTGGCATACAGTATTTTAAAATAAAATACAATGATCTATTGGAAAACATGGCTGTGTGGATGATTTGTAATTGATCATTGACGCGTTCATTTCAGAATATGTAGAATTGGATATTGCGACCTGTTCCCCTGCAAGACTGAGCAACAGATAAGCTTACATTTAGCTAAGCTATGTTCGTTAGTGAGCAACATGTAAGCGATCCAGAAATGTAAGTCGGATAGCAAGAAACGCAAAGAACAGAAAAGATCATTAGAGAGGAAAAGTTTAAAGTTAACTTTTTCATTTGTTTACTGCACTGTGATCAGTGAGATAGTAGAACGTTTTTGTTTCTTGAGCGAATTCAGCTGTCTTTTTGGCATTTTATTTGATATAAAAAATACTGAAGATAATTCAGCTGAAGCCTGCAATTAACTTGCTTTGTTTTTAGGAGACATGGTGGAGATTTGGCAACTGAATTAAAGTTTCTGTCTCATCTGCTCCCCAATGAAGTCAACACTCCATCTGAAGTACTGCACTATTTGGTCAACAAAGATATGAAATCATTCAGTTTTGTTTTTGACAAGGCTAACGTTAAGTGCGTGAGATATCATAATAAAGAAAAAGCTGTTCAAATATTTTCTTATTTTTATTTTATTTCTTTTGATGTGTTGATTGGACTCTTTGTGTAATCAAGACATAGTCTTTGTAAACCTATGTTTGTAGCTTGTACAGTATATGCATATTTTCTCTGATTACCGGTGTTGATTAGGCTACTGCTGAGGTATAACGCGAGCCCATTTCAAACAGTGAGGACAGCCTGGTTCTTGTATGGGCCACGGAAGTGTTTATGGTCGCTCATGTGGACCGCGAACTGTAATAGGTTGGGAACCTCTGCCCTAGAGTATTTGATTTATTTTGTATGTGGAGGACACGGTTAAGATAGATCCTGTTTATAATTGAAGAGAGTCGCTAAAAGTATTAAAATAATTAGCTTTATTTTTTATTAATCTCACTCACAGACACACCAGACATGTAAGGACTAACTTGACTGGACACAGGTCTCACATAGATCTTTACAAATAAAAAAAAGTTATGGTTTCTTATCACCCAAACAATAGACACAAACAAACTGTTGCAGATTGCTACAAGAGCAGTGCCCTCAACCCCCCATAACATCATTGTTATCAAATCACTGTTGACCTTACAAAAAGTCTCCTTAATCAGAAACTTTTTGATAAAATTCTGCACATAACTTACAAAAAGCTACAACTGGGAGAAAATGTTTTCAAAAAGAAAAAAATCACACTACTGACACTCCTACCAAGCATCTTCAAAATCAAACGCATTTTCTTTTTTTTTTTAATTTTAGTTTGTACCACTTGTTCTTAGTATAGTATCTAGACATGGTAGTTAGATAGCTTTGATGGTAATTTGGTAGCATAAAGAGAGTCAATATCACATCGGCAGAAATCATATTACTGTGCTTGTATCACTTGGCTGCACATTGGACTATCACTGTCATTAATGTATAAAATTAATGCACAAACAGCCAATGGAAGACAAGCAATGTAAAGTCTAAATCCTTACCATGTCCAGCAAATGCATGTCACTGTTTCGCACCTTTTGGCCGGGACTGAGGAGCATTCCAAAACATCTAGGAGACAAAGTACAAAACGATAAAGCAAGGAATTAACTTCAAAAAATACAGCAGAAAAAGCCATTCTTGAAAGGTTGTTTCTTCAACCTTCAAAAGTGTGTATGAGGTATTTTATCTAATTATTCCAACATTATGTCCTCTTACTATTAATCTTCCTAGTGGATTGTGTCATTTTAGGTTAGGTTAGGATATTTTTCTTTATTCAGGAAAACAAACTTTATTGTTAACATTGTGTAGCACTGATTAAATGGGTTTCATGCCAACAAGAGCAACAGTGCATGTATGCTGAATTTAAAAGCATACAGAGACATTAAATACACAGTGCTTTGCTTAAGGAATTGATGACTGTTTACCAGCCTATGGATCCACACTTCCAGTGCCTGAAAAAGCATTCACACCGTTACAATGATGTTGTTATTGCCTGGTTAAAAATGATTCTTTTTAACCGTCTCAGGCAATTTTTTATCGGCCGTCTCAGGCAGTGATTATAATTGAGTGCCCATTACATATGTATATATATGATCAAAATTTTTATGTTCAAATTGAACAACTTTATGGATACCTCTGCCAGCACTTACAACTATGAGACATTTGTATAAGTCTCCACCAACTCTGCACACTGGGATGCTGTAATTTTTTACCATTCTTTTTTGCAAATTGCATAAGCTCTGTCAGGTTGGTTGGTGATCGTTGACTGACAGCATCAAGTCCTGTCATAGACTCTCCGTAACATTGAAGTCAGGATGTTGTGTACCAGACTGATTTAAGTAGGCTATCAACAGCCTTTGTGCATTTCCCAGAATCCTAAATATGAGTTTTGTTTTGATACTGGAATATATAATTATAAATGTTACATGCTCCTGTCAATATAAGTACTGATCTTGAAGTTGTTAAAGTGAAATTAACTAAAAGATAGTAAGCTGCTTGCCACCCTATAGAGGTCTACAGAGTCCAGATTTCATTTAAGTATGTACAGTAGCATGTTTGATTCATTGAGGTATGATATTATAACAGAAATTAAAGTTATTGTATGAATGAATGAACATAACAAATACTAAAAATGACAAAACTACTCAGAATACACACATTGTCCTATGATTTAGAACTGGGGTTTCCTAACCAGGGGTTCACGAACCCCTAGGGGTTCGTGACGGTACTGAAGGTGGTTCGTGAGATTGTGATGGAAACGTCAATGTAAAATTAAATAGTCCCATTATTAAATAACAACCTAATAATAAGAATAAGAAAAACAACAGTAGTAATATTAATATTTTACAAAGTGAAAAGAAGCATGTTAAGAGGGTTGCTGTAGCATTCACGGATGCAGCCATTTGAAACGGAAAAAATAAAAATGTCAATATACTGTAGTGTCCATAATATTTGCTATTTTAATTTTTCAAAGAAATGTTTATTTGTTAAAAGAAAACTCTCACACTTATAAGTCAGTCACTTAAGCTATCACGCTTCCGATCCAGCCATGTGAAAGTACTGAAACAGCAATACACATATCAATGGAAAGTTTTATACTACTGTTTGTGCTACAGTACCTGAATATAATTATATAATTATATAATTAATTTCTTTAGATACGCGATTCCTTATTATATTCTCTATTAATAAAATTCTAAAAGTATGCTTTTGTTTACTCCGATAACGAGCGTATCCGCAGAAAAGGTTAAAACAATCAATTTTCACAAAGTATATAAATTTACAGTAATATGGTCAGAGGAGAATGTAAAAACGTTTCCGAATTAACCACATGTAAGACTTTGATGCTTAAAATGTTTAGGGAGAAGTGGAATACTGCTGTGTATGTTTTCATTAAACATTAAAAAAGAAACAGTGAAAAAAAAGTGAAGAAAAAGCACGCAAAGATAAGTTTCAGGCAAGCTGGCTGAAAATATACCTGTGGTTTGAATGAAAAACGGAGAAATGAGCTGCTCAGCTAGCAACATGTTCAATAGTGTGAGGTTTACTAGCCAGTGTTACAAGACGTCTACATTAATGAGACACTCGAATGCAGTTGCCAATAATGCAGCACTGAGGCAGAAGAATGTTATGGCTGGTGCTATCGAAGCCGCACAATTGAAGAGGTAAAAGGGCTACTTAAAGTGTGTACTTTGTCACAGAAACTTTCTTGAAACTAGGGAAATTAATGAAAGAAATGGAATGTCCTTCTTTAAAGCATCTGAAGATTGACAGGTCGAACTACGGAATCTTTCTGAATGACAGAGGTTTGTCAGAAATGTATCAAGCACACTCTTAAAAGAGTTAGATGCCACTGTGGGCACAAGTCCTTAGTTCTCCTTAATACTGGATGAGTCCACTGATCTAAGTAACAGTAAGCAGCTTATTACTTATGTATGGCACATACACGGAAACAAGGTGAAAACTAAATTTTTTATAAACTCAGAAATTGCAGATGGATGGGCAGAAACCATTTTAAAGATAAAAAGCAACTAATGAGTGAAAAAAATTAAATGCAGTATGCATAGAGCTGTTATGACAGGAAGCCGCCAAAGAGTTGTTCAAAAACAACCAGATTGCACTGCACGGCTCATTGGTCTCTCTTTCTGTCCCCTGCTCCCGCCTCTCACTCCTCCTCCCTCCCAACCTTTGTTCTCCCGCTACTTTACCTTTGCCTACTGCCCTGTCTCTCTCACACCTGAAGAAGGCTCCACGGCTGAAACGTTGTGTTCTCTTTCTTCTTTTTTTCAGCATGGAATAAACCTATTACTTGTTCCTATATTAAATTTATATGCTTTAGAAAAAGTTATGTTTTAACACTTTCTATGAATATTTGTGCTCATAATTGCAGTAAAAAAACGTATACTTTTTAGAATTTGATTAATAGGGAATATATTATGGAATCGCATATCTTAAATTAATAACACTATAATTATATTCACATCGCTCAAATTATTACAGTAGTACACTTTCTTAAACATCTACATCCATTTGACTCCTTCACCTGCGATTATTTGGAAACGTTTTTGCCTGCCCTGTTCAGTTATAGCTTAAGCTGTCAAGTGTCACATTGGTGTAATGGCTTAGGTGTGTGCCTTGCATGCTGGAGGCTGGGGGTTCGAACCCAGCTGTCACCACGTCACCACCAGCTGTTTAAAAAATTTCTTCCAAGCATTTCTTTGAAAAACTAAAATAGAAAATATAATCAACACTATATTGAATTTGTTGGTATTTCTAAATATCACAACACGTTCAAAGTTAATTGATTTATTAATAACAACCAATAATTTCAGACTGCTTGTATTTTAAAATTGTATTTTGTTCGGGGTAATTTGTCATTGTTTTCACAAACTTCAATTTATTAAACATCTATTTTTGAGACAGGGTGTTCCAGACCTCTGTTTAATTTCTGCAACTCCCTCTATATTCCATGACCTTTTCTATGAATACTTGCGCTTGTTATTGCAGTAAAAAATCTCATACATTTTAGAATCCACTAAATAGGGAATATAATATGGAATCGCTTATCTAAAGAAATTAATAATGATATTAATTTAAGGATCTAAATATATGTATTTATATAGCTGGTAGTATAACTGTAATACACTTTCTTTGTAAACACGTTTTATTTTTAATTTGACTCATTCACACATGATTCCTTTAGAAACATTTTTAAGCTGTTCGTCTCAGCTGTGTTGAGCTTCCGAGCAGCCCGTTGGTGCAGTGGGTTTGTCAATAGAGGTTCTGCCTAGACAAGAAGTTCCCAACCTATTACAGCTAAATATTTACAAAATATTGCAAAAACTAAGGCACCAGTACAGCTCTTTCTTATGATATCTCTCGTATTTAACATTAGCCTTGTCAAAAACACTGAACGAGCAGAATCTAATGGAACTGAATATTTTTACACAAGTGCGGGGTAGCCTTCTGTACAAATGAATTTATGAAGACGTTGAGAAACAAAAATATGCACAATAACTATAAGAACAATTATAAAACAGAAGTATATGTTAACTCCCCATCCATTACATTATATTCAACACATAGATTTTCAAATGGACGGAGGAATGCACAGTTACTCAGTAGCCTGCAGCTAGTCCGGCAATAAACACACGCACCTTCTTTCAGGCTAACTTAGTGAGAAGGCTGGTTCTCTTTGACACATACCAAATGCTGGATGTCAGGCTGCAGAGATGTATTTTGTTTGGCTTTAAAGCCTCGTTTGATAATTCTTCGGAACACAAAGCACACAGCGGCAGCGGCTCATTCTCAGTTCCCATTTTCTCTTTTTTAGTTTAGGTTTAGATATTGGGTTATCGGTATAAGACACTGAAGTGGTTTCTTTGCTTGTAGATGGGCCCTCCTCTGTGTCCTCGTAAAAGAACCAAACGCAAGCCACTTACCTATGACATGAAGGGTACTTAGGCAGTTATACTACTTTCTGCATTAGCTTTCTTGTCATGTCACATATAATAGCACTAAATGACAGTCACATCATGCCAGCACGCTAAGCCATAATATATACAAATGTTTATATTATGTTATTTATATTATATATAATGTTACATATTTACGACTGCTTTACAATTACAGCCAGGCTGGCACAGCCCATACCTGGGGCCAGTTTGCAAGTAAATACAAAGGCTCCCCCGAATTCCTTCTGCCTCCACCAGTGCACACAGAGCAAGAGAGCAGAATTCAAACGGGCTAACATATTGAACTTGATACTTAGTAACGAGCTAGTTAAAACTTGACTTGTCGTGCTTTCATCGTAGCAAACTTAGTGATGATATCACGGAAATCCACCTGTCTTGCGGTACTGTTCTCTATAAACATCAAAGCCAGAGCTGACAGTCTGTCCTGTGTCATGGTGGACCTTAGATAAGTCTTTATCAACTTCAGTTTGTTAAATTAAGTGTTCTGCACTGGTGACAGCAACTGGAATTGACTTAAAAACACTTGACATGCTATCACTATGTCTGGAAACACGGATTTCATATCTTTATTGACCAAATACTGCAGTACTTCAA